GCAGTCTTGTGTGCTAAGCAGTTAACAAATTTTATAGTAAGGATCCTAGGGGACCGCAGTGAAATGTTCTTATAAAAGGAACAAAATCTTTGAAGATTTGCCTCCCTTTTTTTTTTTTTTTTTTTTTTTGCAGGCCCTCAGCAAATCTAGTGATGCAACAATCCTTATTTTTAGCTCTCTCTCTCTCTCTTAGCTGAGTTGGCGTGCACAAAGCACTTGCGTGACAAACTCTGGCCCAGACTTTATTTTAAACGGGGACCGAGCCCTTACACTCTTGAACTGGGGGATGGGGGTTTGGCAATCTGGTTGAGAAAATCTTAAGACACGTGTGTGAACTGGAGCATTGAATGTGGGTAGAAAAGGCCCCCCTCTGTCTCTTTCAGTTTGAAGGACATGTACAGCTTCTACGAAGTGGCTGGTTTGAAATGGAAGGTAAAGTTGTCAGTTTGAGCTGTTTGGGGGTCTTTGGGGGTGGGGCTGGATGGGAGGTGAGCCCCTAGAATGGGGAAGAACAAAAGGGACACTCTGGGGAGAACAAACACTGGGAAGATTTATGGATGGATGGATGGATGGATGGATGGATGGATGGATGGATGGATGGATGGATGGATGGATGGATGGAAAGAAGGAAGGAGAGGGTGGGAGTGAGGGAGGGAGGAAGGAAGGAAGGAAGGAAGAGGGGGAGGGAGGGAGGAAGGAAGGAAGGATTCCTGGAGGGAGAAGGGCCCTTAAAAGTCCTCTAGCCCAGCCATGAAAGTGAACCAAAGCTGATTCTGGTTACTTTCTTTTCCAGGCAAAACGGAACCGGGAACATTGGTTTGACGACCTTCCAGGGACAGCTTTCCTTATTTTTAAGGGTAAATACTCTGTGTTTCTATAGAACACTTCCTAGGTCTGGAAGGGACCTTGGGAGTCCTCTAGTCCATCCCCCTGCTGCAGCAGGAGACCCTATACCACTTCAGACAAGTGGCTATCCAGTCTCTTCTTGAAAGCCTCCAGTGATGGAGCACCCAGAACTCCTGGAGGCCAGCAGTTCCACTGGTTAATGGCTCTCACTGTCAGGAACATCCTCCTTAGTTCCCGGCTGGGTCTCCCTCTGATGAGATTCCATCCGTTACTTCTCGTCCTGGCCTCAGGTGCTTTGGGGAATAAGGCAAGCCCTTCATCTCTGTGAGAAAAAGGGAGAAGAAACCAACTTGGGGTATTTCAAAGAAACCAGCAAGAATGATGTTATATATATATATAAAAAAAAAGCATTTCATTGTTTTTTTCTGATCTCTTCTTCCTTTCAACAGGTATTAACATATTAGTGAATTCTCGGGCTTTCCAGTATGGCATGTGTAAGTCTTCCCTCTGTTCATATTGAGTGGGGAGGGGGCTCGAATGGATAGAGTTACTCAGCGTAGTAGTATTAAGTGGTGTTTTGTTTTGCCAATACACTGATCAACTTCAAAGTTGACATTGGGCCCCAAGAACCAAGGAAAACCAAAGTTATAGGTAGTCCTCAGCTTACAAAACTCACAACAGTGAGCTAATTTAGTGACTGAAGTTACAACAGCACTGGAAAAAAAGTGACTTTTGACCACTTGTGCTTCGTTTGAAAACTGTGTTGTTTTCCGTTGTGTCTTGCAGATGTTCTCGTGGCCGTGAACGGTCTCTGGATTCTAGTGGAAACCTTCATGTTGCGAGGTAGCACACAACACAATTGAATGTTTTTTTTATTATTATTCCTTTCCTTCTGACGGGATTTCCACTCTTCTCTCTGAAACTCTGTGCCGTTTCTTTCCAGATGGAATCTTTTCCCGAGACGTCCCCTGGAGTTACATCATGTTCCTTACAAGTAAGTCTTCAGCAACTTGGTTTTCCAAGAAGGCGCGTGGAGGCCTCCTTAGAGAATAAAAATGTTGAGACATTGGAGCTCGGTAAAGAAAAGAATAAATTGGGGTGCTGATAAAAGACAAATATTGGACACCGTTGTTGTTATTGGACAATATTGTACGGGGATTAAAAACCCACAATCCCGGCACTTCCTCTTCTGTGTTGACAGTCTACGGGGTCGAAGTGCTGTTGAAGGTCACTGGCCTGGGACCTAAAGAGTATCTCTCTTCTGGCTGGAATCTGTAAGTATCTCCTACTTAAGGGATTTGGCATGGGATACTCGTAGGGAGATAGCTTGCAGATTCTACCCAGAACATCCACTTCTGTCTCTGTTTTTTCCCAGTTTCGATTTTGCGGTCACTTTGTTCGCATTCTTGGGTCTCCTGGCACTGGCGTTCGATATGGAACCCTTCTACTTCATTGTTGTGCTGCGGCCTCTGCAGTTACTGAGGTGAAGATACAGGATGGGTCAGATACGTGCAGAACTGGGGGTCCTCTAGCTACTGAGAAACTACAGGTCCCAGAATCCCCTTGCTTTTGACCCTTGGTCGCAAGGTTGTCGTCTTCTTCTTCTTCTTCTTCTTCTTCTTCTTCTTCTTCTTCTTCTTCTTCTTCTTCTTCTTCTTCTTCTTCTTCTTCTTCTTCTTCTTCTTCTTCTTCTTCTTCTTCTTCTTCTTCTTCTTCTTCTTCTTCTTCTTCTTCTTCTTCTTCTTCTNCTCCTCCTCCTCCTCCTCCTCCTCCTCCTCCTCCTCCTCCTCCTTCTCCTTCTTCTTTTCCTTCTCCTCCTTCTCCTCCTCCTTCTCCTCCTCCTCCTCCTCCTGTCTTAAAGCATGCTACCTGGGAAATTCTGGGAATACAAGGCCTCCCATCTTAAAGCATGCTGGCTGAGGAGTTTTGGAAGTCCACATATTTTTATGTTGCTCTACACAGTCATGCATTTTTTGTTCTTTCCCTTATTGCAGGCTGTTTAAACTGAAGAAACGTTACCGCAACGTCTTGGATACGATGTTTGAACTTCTTCCTAGGATGGGCAGGTACAGAGAATGAAAGATTCCTGCCTGAATTTGCTGCTGAAGCCTACACATAGGTTCTCCTGCTTGAGCAGGGGGTTGGACTGGAAGACCTCCAGGGTCCCTTCGGACTCTTATTATTCTGTTAAAAAGCCACCTTGTTGAACTACATTTTTCCCAACCTTCTCCTTTGTCTTCTAGCCTATGCCTGACCCTACTCATCTTCTACTACTGCTTTGCCATTGTTGGCATGGAATTCTTCTCTGGGAAACTCTACCCAAACTGTTGTAAGTAAGTATCTACGTGTTCCTTCTATATAGTCTGAAAATAAATATACGTAGATTCGGTTTGCACACAGAACAGTGTCGTTTGCTGTAGTAGAACTGAAGGGACAAATTCTGACCCCTCCATTGTTTAGCTCCTAACTTTTTCATCTCAGCTAGGGATGATGGGAACTGGTTTTCAATAAGCTCTGTGGTCTGGTGTCCTTTCTAAGCTTGGTGTGTTTCTTGCAGACGTTTCATTACCCAACTGAGTAACACCATCAGTGCTGGAAGGGAGTGGGGCTTGTGGGGAGGAGGAGCAGGAGGAGGACTGTGGGGTCCTTGGTGGTTTTCTTGCACACGTTTCATTACCAAACTAGGTAATGTCTTCAGTCACTTTATTCAGTGGGACGGTCACTAAATGAACTGCTGTAAGTTGAGGACTGCCTATCCTCACCTCCGTCTTCTTTACAGCCCAAGAAACTAGGGAGGGTCTCTTCTGAGCCTTTGCCCCACTATGCAATCTTTTACCTGACCCTTATAAAAACAGATTTTTGAACCCAGAGCCTCCTCCCTCAGTTCGCTCTTTTCTTATTTCCTCACCCAGCACCAGCACGGTGGCCGACGCCTTTCGCTGGGTCAACCGCACCGTTGGGAACAAGACTGTGGTGGAGCAAGGCTACTACTATCTCAACAACTTCGACAACATTTTGAACAGCTTCGGTAAGAGCTCACAGTGCTTTTGCAGCCCCTCTCTAAGCGGTTTACAGAGTCAGCCTCTTCCCCCCCCCCCCAACAATCTGGGTCCTTATTTTACCAACCTCGGAAGGATGGAAGGCTGAATCAACCTTGAGGCGGTCAGAATCGAACTTCTGGCTGTGGGCAGTGAGTTAGCCTGCAATGCTGCATTCTAACCACCACGGCTCTTTTACTACTTGAGTTGCTGCATTTTGCACCAGCTGAATGACCTTCAGAGGTTGATGTCGCAAATCCTTGAATTGTTTCCTGTTTAATTGTCTCTTACCCTTCCCTGTTTTTGTGCAGTGACCCTCTTTGAGTTGACGGTAGTCAACGATTGGTACATCGTCATGGTAAGTCTACAGAGAACCCCCTTCTGTGCTGGAGCAATCGCATGTCACTTAAATACCATCATCTTTCCGGCCCTTTTAGTTCCAGAATATTGCCTCAAAGACCCCTCAAATATGAGTAATGGATAGATAGATAGATAGATAGATAGATAGATAGAGAGAGAGAGAGAGAGAGAGAGAGAGAGATGATGGATAGAGATAGACAGACAGACAGAAATACGTAGAGATACAGGTAGAGAGGATAGAGGGATAAAGATAGAATTCTGGGAGTTGAAGTCCACAAGTCATAAAAGGGCCAAGTTTGAAGACCCCTGATTTACGTATTGGGAGAGTGCCTTTGTGGTTCCCGCCCACCACCAGCCACTTCAAGTTCTCGTTTTTCTGTTTTTTTCAGGAAGGGGTGACCTCAGAAACTTCTCACTGGAGTCGTCTTTATTTCATGATTTTCTACATTGTGACCATGGTGAGCAGATTGCGCAAGATGCTTCGGCCATCAGATGCTCGTTTAGATGACTGTTTTTATTTGATTTTTTTAATGTTTTAATATGTTTTCATTGGAAATGTTTACGGGAGTAAAAAGATAAACGTGAAAATCTATAAAGAAAAAGTTAAAGAAAAGGGAAAGTGCAAAGAGCAATAACTTATTATTATTATTATTGCAGTGAGAAGAACTTCAACTCCCAGAATTCCTCAGCCAGCAAATACTGGCTGAGGAATTTTGGGAGTTGAAGTCCACAAGTCATAAAAGGGCCACGTTTGAAGACCCCTGTTGTAGACATTTTATGACCCAACTAGGTAACATGATGGTGTTACTTAGATGGGTCAGGAAACATCTGCAAGCAAACCACCCAAGCTCAGAGAGCACCAAGGACCCCCCCAGTTCTCTTCCTCCTCCTCCTCCTCCTCCTCCTCCTCCTCCTCCTCCTCCTCCTCCTCCTCCTCTCTACAAACCCCCTCCCTTCCATCACTGATAATGTTACCTAGTTGGGTCATGAAACGTCTGCAAGAAAACCACCCAGCTCAGAGAGCACCAAAAACTTCACCGTTAACATTTTTGGGATGTTGCTACAGCTTGGCCACCAACAGAGACCAAGAGGTTAGCAGTCCCATTACCACTGACTTTGTATTTTTTTTTTTCCCCTCCCCAGGTGGTGATGACAATCATAGTAGCTTTTATACTAGAAGCATTTGTATTCCGCATGAATTATGCCCGCAAGAATCGGGATTCAGAAGGTGCGTGGGAGATATTTGCCCTCTGCTTGTGTCGCAGGTCTCTCTCCTATCCATCTTCCCCCTGGCAGGCTTAATTAGAATCCAGGAACAAGAACCAAGGGGCATCTGAAATGATTTTCCTCTAGTCTAGAAAAAGCCAAGAAGCTGTTTGTGAAAGAATTCCAGGGAAGCTGGACATTTTTTTCCCAGCTCTTTCTCCTCCCATTATCTAGCAACTGACTTCATCCCTCGATTTCTTTTCCCCAGCAGAAGACAGCGGGATCGTGCTTGAGAGGGAGGTCTCCAAGGAAGAAATTGGGGGCTTAGTCGAGACCTACGGGAGGCAAGGCGACAGCTTGGCAGCTAGCCAACTTCTCAAGGTCATTTCCCAAATGGACAGGCACCGGGTGAGTCAACGGGACTGGGGGCGGCTGTTCAGAATAGGCAGTAGTCCTCCTGTCTAGCTGAGATGAGGCGTCCTTCTCACCATTTATCTTCTACTGCTTTTAGCAAACCACCATGCTGTTCCTGGGCCGGCGTTCGAGGACCAAAACCGATTTAAGTATGAAAATGTATGAAGAAGAGATTCAGGTAGATTGGTGGACATCAATGCCATGGAGGTATCTCGGGCAGTAATTTTACGATGGATAACCAAAGAGCCAATACATGGGTGCCAATATGGCTACATGGACTGCCAAGAGGAGAGGGGAAGGGAGGGGAGTGGAATGGAATAGAAAATATGGGATAGAATAAGGGACAGGAAAGAAGAATAGAATAGAATAGAATAGAATAGAATAGAATAGAATAGGATAGGATAGGATAGGATAGGATTAGAATTAGAATTAGAATTAGAATAGAGCTGGAATAGAATAGAATAAGAATAGAGCTGGAATAGAATAGAATAAGAATAGAATAGAATAGAATAGAATAGAATAGAATAGAATAGAATAGAATAGAATAGAATAGAATAGAATTAGAAATAATAGAATAGAATAAGAATTAGAAATAGAAATAGAAATAAAGAATAGAATAGAATAGAAATAGCATAGCATAGCATAGCGTAGCATAGCCTCCACAAACATTTGTGGGGTCTGTCTGATATGGCTCCTGTTCGTTTCCCCTGGCTGGGCATTCTGTTGTGGTTTTGTGTAATGACACCAATCTTCCATTCTCAGGAGTGGTACGAGGAACATTCCAGAAGAGAGGAACAACCGCTTCCTTGGCAGGAAGACGAGGAGTTGCTCAACCAGACCTTCCTCCCTCCTGCCCTCCGGCAGCGTTCGCAAACCGTCATCTAAACTTGGTTGACCGAAAGCCCGTTCTCCTATGCATTCAGCCTGGGTTTGGCGACACAGTGGCCTCTACAGCCTCCCCTCGATCAGATTTTTTCTTTGACACGGTCCTGATCTCTTGAGATTTCATTTCATCTCATGAGAGAGAAGTCGACCATTTTTATTATTATTATTATTTTTAATTTTTGTCTCCTCCTTTCTTTTTCCTTCCAGCATGGGTGTGTGTGTGTCTGAAAAGACTCTTGACTTTGCAGTTATTGCGATGGGAGAATCATGCAAAGTCCTTCCTGGTTGAAGGACCATTGGACCTTCTTTTTGGAGAAGACCGGTGCGTTTTGTCCTTCTTGCCACTGTGTTCTTTGGCAAAACGCTGGTTGCTGTGGCGGAGCTGGGGGTAGAGGGCTGAAAACTGACCCTGTTTGCCAGCAAACGGTGCCCATCCTGGCATAACTGTCATGCCATCTTCCATCAGCAATTGAGATGGGCTAGAAAAGGCCGGAAAGTAGTTTGAATCGCCAAGCATCAACAACATTGCTCGCTCTGTATCCGTGGTGCACTACATGCAATTGAGTGAAGTAATGCAGGTGTATTTTACACCACCCCTTCGTTTCCCCCACCCTTTGTAGTTCATCAGCATCTATAAAGACTGCTCGTACTCCAGTAATTGCTTAGCAGTTTTTTACCAAAACGTAGCAAGGCGCTCGGGCAGGCAACAGAACCCAGGACCAACTGAGTTTCAAAGCATCTTCTTAGCAGAAATGGATTCTTGCTTCCATGAGATCCTGAACGTCTTTAAGACTCTTATCCTGCTCACAGACTTGGTCCTGTGTTGGCATAACAAGTCTTCCTGGGACCTGAACATTTGCAGTGCCATCTACCTGGAGCTATGAACAGCAACGGCCCAGAAAGTTAACCTAGCAAGTAGGTGTGGTGTTAAATCCTGAAGCAATCCTGCCTGATAATCAATTGTATTAACTCTTAAACGCTGCCAATAGGCATTGTATGAAAGCCTGAAGCCCCCATGCCGATAGGTATTATACGAAAGCAATAATTCTTTCACAGAAAAGACAAAAGTAATCTCGGGATCAGGGTCTGATCTGGTTTTTATTGTGGATTCACTTCTGCAGAAATTCCTTAATGAGTCACCCAGTCTCTTAGAAGACTTCCAGAAGAGAAACCAACAAGCAGATTGTGTATTTTGCTGGGCATTCTTTGCTTTGACAACACAGAATGCTTTTGTCAATATGCAAAGAAGGGTTCAGCTCATCCAGGTTTGTCTCCCATCTGTTAATCTTGATTGCTAATTAGCAAACGGTAAATGGAATTTGCTTTTTTTTTCCTGCCAAGTTATAAGCAGAAAAGACAAGGTTCACCCCCCCCCTTTTTTTTTCTTCTTTTCTTTGTCCCTTCTGTAATTTTAGGATGGCTAACCTAGAATAATTAGGAATTTGTTTTCTTACGTCTGCTAACTCTCTGGAATAGTTCTTCGTTTAAAAAAATGACAAGATTATTTCCATGCTAAACCAATAATGGGAGAAGGGTTGGCTTTGAACGAGCTAAATTTGTTTTCCAGTTGGGGGAGAGAGGGTTACTTTATTTTGTTTCAAATAAGGGGTGGGTGTGAGATAAACCATCACATAAATGAAATTTTCCTGTCTTTCTTAAGCAGCTCATTCTACGCTGGTATCTCCCAGTTCACGTCCCTAAAAGCTACATTAATGGCTGTGGAAGATTGCAGTTGTAGTCTTAACACTATCAGAGGACACCCAGTTGTGGAAATAAGAGTTCCTGAACCCATGATCCGTGATCGTCTGTTTTCTTCCTAAAAAGAATGCAAATATTTTATAAGGTAGATGGCCACAAATTCAGAATTCCTGGGCTGTGGGGCGACGCTGGAAGTCCACCAGAAGCTTGCTTTAAGGATCTTTAAGGAGAGAAAAGGGCATTTAAAAAAAAAAAACCTACTATTGGTTCAAAAGGGCATTATGTGATCAGTTCAGGGAAAGTATTTCATCCTGCTATATCAATCAGATTTGTTAATTCTTTTAAAAAAAGAGGGAGATAGGTTGAAGCGGAGCAGATTCTAGTCATCATTCCTTAGGGATAGGCCATGTTTTAGTTTCCAAGCAAAAAATAGAATTTCAGAAAGGGTAGGGGGGGCTCCCTAAATCACCCCCATTTGTGTGAAAAAAAGGTATCTTTCCCAAAATTTGCAAAATAATTGCATGCTCCCTGGGAAGTAACGTTTCAAAATAGGGAGGTGTGCCTGCAGATCCTCAGAGCACCTTGCCTGCCCCCTCAGCCCTTACTAACTGGAACACACATTTTCCTGGGATTGTCTGGTGGCAATGCACAGCCAATCCCAGCTTCTTGAAGGAGCTGCTGGCCTTGTGTAGGACGCACGACAACTCCAAAGCACGTTTTTGAGCTTTGGATTTGAAGCAACAACGCCTAGCTTTGTACGTTCTCGGTTTGCTATTTTTTTTCCAAACAGGAGCCTGGATGACGTTTCCCTCGCTTACTGACCGTTTTGGGGGTGCCACTAAATGGAAATGATTGCTGACCACCTTTATAATTTAGAATTGTTTTGCTCGTCAACCTTCGCACGTGCACATGTTCATGAGAATTTGCTTGGCACCGTCTAGTCCAGGGGTAGGCAACCTTGGCTCTTTTATGACTCGTGGACTTCGACTCCCAGAATTCCTGAGCCAGCCATTGCTGGCTCAGGAATTCTGGGAGTTGAAGTCCACGAGTCATAAAAGAGCCACGGTTGCTTACCCCTGATCTAGCCCATAGTTCTTTGACTAAGATCCATGGCTAAGCAGAGGTCCAGATTTAAAGCAGAATTTCCCAATCTTGACAATGTATGGCTTTCCCCCTGCTGGCAGGGGAATTCTGGGAGTTGAAGTCCACACATTTTCAAATTGATAAGCTTGAGACACACCGATCTAACAGCAGTGGCCTTTCCGGTTAGCTCAAGCGAGATTTAGTACTGCCAAGCTTAATTTTAGTGTTCAAACACTAATCACTGGAAGGAAAGTGACTCCCAGTTTTGATGCACTACAGTTATGTCACACATAAGCATAACATTTAATTTTTTTCCCTTACTGTCAGCCTGGATAGTAAATGCAAAGAAATTATAATTTCAAATTTCCTTCCACTATGCAGCAATAAGAGATGCTGGAAACTCCATACCAAGTAAAATGGAGTCTTCCTTCTTTTTCTTTTCTTTTTTTGCATGTGTTTGTTATTTTTCATTCTTGTATATGATATAAGCTAGAAATAACTCCAGAAAATTATTGTTGTTTTTTCCCGAGTCTCTTGGAAGGAGGCAGGGACGTTCCTTCCTAAATATCTTTTTCTCTGCTCTAAACTCCAAAGACAATCACTCGTAGGGGGATACGAAAGACGCGGTGGGTTTGGGATACTGGGAAATGCGTATGACCGCTATAACAATGTCTGAAACAGTATTATACAGATGTTTACATAACATTTAATAAACCTTTTTAACCCTCTTTCGGCATCTCCCCTTTTATATTTAGGGCAGTCTTCGGCTTAAAAGCACAACAGCACTGGAAAGAGTCATTTATGACCGTTTTCCACACTTAACGACTGTCGAAGCATCTCACGGGATCAATATTCGGATTCTTGGCCACTGACTCATATTTATGACGGTCGCAGTGTCCCCCCGGGGGGGAGGGGTCACGTGATCCTCTCTTGTGAACTTCTGACAAGCAAAGTCAATGGGGGAATGGGGAAGCCCGACTCGCTTAACGTTAGTAACTTCAGGACTGCAGTGATTGATTTAACAACTCGGACAAGAGAAGTCACAAAATGAGAGAAAACTCCCATTTAACAACTGTCTCGCTTAGCAATGGAAATTGTGGGCTTTATTGCGGCCGTAAATCGAGTGCTGGATAAAATAAAGAAAACATCAAGAAACGATGGGCAGTGGTTTCACACAAACACAACTCCAAAGCCTGTAATTGATCAATGCTCTTTTATTCCCTAAATTGACATCTTCTTACATCAAAACGGGAAGGTAAATTACAGCATGTCTGTTCTTTGAGGTAGATCATTAAACATAGAAAAGCTCAATGGAAGTTAAATGTATTTACAGAAATGAGCAAAGATGCAGATCTGGGCCACCAGCACTTAACTTTTCCCTTATTCTCCAAAGCCCCTGAAGGCAGGACAAGAAGCAACGGATGGAAACTAGTCAAGGAGAGAAGCAACCTAGAACTAAGGAGAAACTTCCTGACAGAACAATTAACCAGTGGAACAATCTGCCTCCAGAAGTGGTGAATGCTCCAACACTGGAAGTTTTTAAGAAGAAACTGGACAGCCATTTGTCCGAAATGGCATAGGGTCTCCTGCTCAAGCAGGGGGTTGGACTAGAAGATCTCCAAGGTCCCTTCCAACTGTTATAAATGGCCACAGCTGTTTATTTGTCTAGTATTGATCCTGGTGTTAATCTCTGCTTATCTAGGTGTTGACTGCTAGCCAGGAGGTGTTTTAGCTGTTTGATTGTCTCTTCTGGAAGAAGTGGGCTTCAATATTTCTTCTTCTCCTCGCTGACATGTGGATTGTGATGTCAGCCTTAAGCAGCCACCTCCCAACAGCTGAATAAACCACATTTGCACACGGTCAACACCCAGCCTGTGCAATTGCTGACTTAGGCAGATTGAAATCCAACAGCTGTGGGTGACAAAAGACCAGAGGAACAGTGGAAAGGAAGGAAGGAAGGAAGGAGAGAGAAAGAAAAAGAGAAAGAAAGGGAAAGGAGAAAAAGAAAGGAAAAGAGGGAGGGAAGGAAGGGACAGGAAAGAGAAATAAAAGAAGGAAAGAAAGTTGAGAAGAACATGTTAAACCCTGGTGCACAGCTGAAAAAAAAAAGACCCGTTCTTAATTATTTGTATGTCAGAGTGTACGTTTTAGTCATCATGACTGACTTAGAGAAACAGACAAAAAGAATTTTAAAAAGATTGTTCAGCCTGGACTTTCCTGCAAACAAGCCACCGGTTTGGAGTGCTTACGGAGCAATGTCTTTGCTCATATTAAATACAGACATCCTATTTGCTCCACCAGCCCAAGAACTGAAAGAGAAAGAGGGAAATGGGAAGAGCGAACTAAAAAACTTCTTTCAAGGACATCAGAAAAATAGGAAGGGAAGAGGAACTAAGAGCAAAAAAATTGGTCATCAGAATAACTTGCTTGCAATGGGTTTTGCACCCAAACACACTTCTTCTTTTCTTATTCTGATGAACAAGTCTGGAAGATACCGATAGATGAGAATATTTATAGCTCAGCCTTGAATGGTGGGGTCCTTGGTGCTCTCTGAGCTGGGTGGTTTTCTTGCAGACATCTCATGACCCAACTAGATAACATCATCAGTGCTAGAAGAGAGAGCAGGGTTTGCAGGAAGGAGGAGGAGGAGGAGGAGAACTGTGGGGTCTTTGGTGCTCTCTGAGCTTGGTGGTTTTCTTGCAGACATTACTCGACTAGTCCCCAAGGTGTTTTTTCAAAAGGTAACTAAACTTTTTGGGGTTTTTTCCCCTCTTGAAATCATTTCACTCGTCATCCAAGAACCTTCTTCAGTTCTGACTCTCAATCAGAACTGAAGAAGCTTCTTGGATCAGAAGCAAAACGTCTTCACGAAAAAAAACAAAGAAAGTCCAGTTGCCTATTGAAAAAGCACCTTTGAGACAACCAGGATTTGGATGACTTAAGAATCTCCGTAGACAATTACCCAACTAAATAACATCAGTGCTAATGGCGGACAGGGCAAAATAAGAGCACTCCCTTCTAGCACTGATGTTGTTTCCTAGTTGGGTAATGAAATGTCTGCAAGAAAACCACCCAGATCAGAGCGCACCAAAGACTCTACAGGTCCGGGAGGACTTCCAGCCCTGCCTTCAGAGACAATAAAAGCTGCCCGGATTTTTTGTCACAAGCTTGCAAACCATGTCCCCTTTCAAGAACGGTGACTGTGTTCACAAGGCATGCTTCCCTTGGTCAGTTACAAAAACAGCAGTTTCATTTGTCCGCCACTCCAACCTTGATGGCTTTGAATCCTAATTTTAGTTTGGTGCGTTGGATAAACCCAATCTGCTTAGCTGATTTGCAAGTCAGTGGAGTCGCACCAGCCTTGAAAGTGGGCTAATGCAATAAGGTGGAGAAGCATGCTAGTGAACACACCCAGCTTATGTTTTTTGCTGGCAGTCAGCAATTATTCCAAAGTCCTTTCATGTTAATGTTAATTCAGCAGCAAATCTACAAGTACGCCTCTCTTATGGATGGATAATGCCATTTATAGCTAAATTGTCAACTGAATCTGAATTTAGATTCCAATCATGAGACAGTTTTCTTCTGTGCTTTTTTTTTTCTGGATAAAACTCTTAACAGTCAAAACCAGGAAAGGGGGGGGAAGCCTCAAGGTGGCAGGCATAACTCATGATTGAAGCCTTATCCCTTTTTTTTTTTTTTAATAAGAGTCAGGAAAACACACCTGCTTCCAGATGGAGGTGACGAACGGATGAAGAATTCAGTACATACCTCGGATGCATTCAAGCTTCAATTCAGGAACTGAAAAATACTTCTAATAAAATCTCCTTTCTTAAAAAGGATCCCTTAAAAAAAAATATATGGCTATCCAAACAAGGAGTTTTCCTTTAGAAAAGCTAACACTGATGGGGGTTGGGACCAAAGATGTCTCAGGAGTCCTGTAATCCTGATTTGGTTCTAAAATCCCCAAATCAAATAAAAAGGCTGTGACTGATGCAAGCCAACCCCGTAATGTCACAGCAATGGTTCCAGTTTTCATTGATCATCCTTTTCGCAGTGGCCGGCATCAACATCTGGGTACCGAGTTCTATTTTTGACCTTGCCAGCAAGCCTTTATTCCAAAAGGCACCAACTTCAAGTAAATAACAGGTTCAACCTTGGGAGACGTCGGTGGGATCTTCAGAGGAGAGATGCTTCATTTAGAAAGTGGAAATTCGGATCACCCTAAACTCGGTCAGCAGCGCGATGGTCAGGAAAGCCAGGTAGAAGACTATGAGGCAGTACCCATAAGCTTGTCCCAGCTGGAAGCACTGGGCAGGCACCGAAAGGAAAGAAATAACCAGGCTGAGACCCAGGGCGCCTGCTAGAATCCATACCAAGAGGCCATCCGGTTCGAGCTATTAAAAAAAGAGGGGAAAAAGGAAATATTTTAGATAGAGCAAAACCTTTTGAGCTTCATCTAGTTGACGCTTTTGCAGTGTGCAGGAAAGTCTCTGTTTATATACCAGGGCCTTGCCCTGGTCTATAAGCAAGGCTCAGAGAGCACCAAGGACCCTCCCCCCCCAATTCAACACCCAGCTACAAACATTCTCTTCTATTAGTAGCTTGCATCTCCTGGCATTAGAACCAGCTATTTTCCAGCTGCAGCCGTTCGCCCGTTCTACTTTGGCAGGAAAAAAAAAAAAGTATCCCGTATCAAAGTCTGCTTGCCAGATGGTCTCATTTCCAGCAGCTTCTCCTCCACTTTCCCCATTCAGAAGAGCAGGGAGGGCATAAAGGAAAGCCGAGAAACAAAACACACAACACGACACGACGTGGATTGTTCATACCTTGACTACCCATTTGCTGCTGGACATTTGCAATAGGCAGCCCAGCCCGACGCCAACAAGCATATCTGGCGAGGGAGAGTTCAGGAGAAAAGATTCTGCAAGTTTTACTGGGCAGTTTTTGAAGAGGGTGATTAGGAAAAGGCTTCGGTGGACTTTGAATTCATTATTATTATTATTGTTGTTGTTGTTGTTATTGATCATCGCACAGTCAGCCAGATGTTCAGACTGGATTTGGCATTTTTGTCTACCTATCGAGTCCTTCCCAAGGACCTGGGATAGGCAGATGTGGATGTTTGATGGTATTACAGATCTCGTCGCAGGATGGAAGCACTTCCTAGTAAGGCCACCTTTTGCAATTGACTAATGGCGAATTTGTCAATGCCGATGATGGTGTTCAAGTGGTGCTCCAATTGTTTTGGGATTGCACCCAAGGCGCCTATGACTATTGGTACTACCCTTGCTTGCCTTTGCCACAGTCTTTCTATTTCTATTTGTAGGTCTTTGTATTTTGTATTATTATTATTATTAATAATAATAATAATCATCATCGCACAGTCAGCCAGATGTTCAGACTGGATTTGGCATTTTTGTCTACCTATCGAATCCTTACCAAGGACCTGGAATAGGCAGATGTGGATGTTTGAATTGATAAGCTGTTAGTATTATTATTGTTGTTGTTATTTTCAAACAGTTGCAATCCTCCAGCTGTGAAATGGATGCAGAGTTCTGACTGGGTTAGAAACAGATGCAAAATGTGGGGTTTGGGAAACAAGGAATGTTTCTCTCCCCCCCCCCCCCAAATAAAGCATTCGGGGCAGAAAGGTTTGATATTCAAGTGGTCCTCAATTTACGACCGTAACTGACTCCTGCAATTCTGGTCAAAGGATACTGAAGATGATACCCCCAAAACAGGCCGAAAAAGCCATTCGGGGGTAACCTTGCCGTGCCATGGTGAGATCGGAGAACATGTCTGTTGGGAGAAAGAGAAGACATCCTTTGAGAAATGTCTCACTTAGCAAACAGAAAAAAAAATGGGGCTCCCAGTTTGGTCGTAATGCGAGGACTACCTGTAAAAGAACTATTCTCAACAGGATTTTTGTCTCCAAATAGCTTTGCACAAAACCCGCCAATCTGAGCCCTCCTTTGAAAAAGCAAAGGCGGCAGAGGGAGGCCATGCAATCCATCGTAGCTGGAGATGATGGCTACGTGCTGGCTTGTTCGACTTACCCCCGATGCTGTTTCCCCAGGCGAGCAGGGTCAAGCCCAAGACTGTGTTGCTGAGACGGAAGATGATGCCTAAAGTCTGCAGGATGTTCACCACCTCGGTGGCTGCAGCGTTGATCCACATGGCGCTGATAAAGAATCCCAGGAAGGCAAACAGCTGTTGCCAGAGGTAAGAAAAGGGAGAGGAGGAAGAGAGAGCGATGAATTCACACTTCCCTTGAAACCCTGGTTGTGTTTTAGCATGGCCTGTTGAATAAGCTGTGGTCAGTCTTGCAGTCCAGCAAAGTAATTTCAAACTTTCCTTTCCTTTCCTTTCCTTTCTTTTCCTTTTCCTTCTTTCCTTTCCTTTCCTTTCCTTTCCTTCCCTTTCTCCTTTCCTTCCCTTCCCTCTTTTCCTTTACTTTCCTTTCCTTCTTTCCTTCCCTTTCCTTCCCTTTCTCCTTTCCTTTCCTTCCCTTCCCTTCCCTTTCCTTTCCTTTCCTTTCCTTCCCTTTCTCCTTCCCTTCCCTTTCCTTTCCTTTCCTTTCCTTTCCTTTGCCTTTTGCCTTGCTAACTTGCTAGCAAAGTTAATTTCTTTCTTTCTTTCTTTCTTTCTTTCTTTCTTTCTTTCTTTCTTTCTTTCTTTCTTTCTTTCTTTCTTTCTTTCTTTCTTTCTTTCTTTCTTTCTTCTTTTTCTTTCTTTCTCTCCCTCCCTTCCCTTCCTTTCCCTTCCTGCCCAATCTCTCTGAAAGATGTTTTTTCTTGAACCTCTGGAGATTGGGAGGGGCCATAAAAACAAAACCATCAGAAACCCCACCAGAAATCATGTCCTTACCCCCATACAAATGCCTCATTTTAAGCCCCAGCTGCAAAAAGCCACACCAACAGGAAGCAGCGGTTTATCATGCCAACTGACAATAAATACACTTTTTAAAAAATACATATTAGGGTTTACTACAGTTTTTCTTCACCCGAACATCCTCCAGATGTGTGGACATAGCATGGCTACAGCGAAGGATTCTGGGAGCTGAAGTCCACATATCTAGATTGAGAAAGATCCCCTTAGGCTTAGGGAATCCTGGACTAGATCCAAGTGGTTGCACAATCTCTGTTGCATTCGCATTCTTGAAGAGGGTGGGCAACTTGGCTGACGCATAACTATAGCATCAGCAGAACAGCTGGAGACAGAAAGTGTCAGTCTGAACTGCTTTGAATTCCAAATATCCCATTTGGAGCCAAAAACATAAATAAATAGTGTATTTTAAGCAGAGTGGAAGTTTCCCAGACTCAAAAGAGAGCTGTTTTAAAGACAAAAAGCTCAGAAGTGCCCATTTTGCATTTAAAATGGGATCTTTGCGTTGGATATACCTCCAGTCAAAAATGCTTTCCAAGGAATTTGGAAAGTAGCATTTACATGGACGGGCAAAAAGCAAATTGTTCACTTTTCATTTTTCTTGCCCGTCCAAGCAAATATTTTCATTACACAAAGAGTCCGTTTCAAGAGCAAAGGTTCTCCAAATATTTTGCCGCAGGGAGCAGTCACTGTAGCAAACCACTGTTGGGAAAGTTCATTTATTCTTGCACTAAGCTGGGAGGGAGTAAAAGAGTTGACGTGATTATCTGCTAACCAAAAATAATAATCATCATCACAGAACATAGAATCGTTGGGCTGGAAGGGACCTTGAGGTCTTCTAGTCCAGGAAACCTTATACCATCCTGGTCAGATGGTTGTCCTAATTGTGAAAACTTCCAGTGATGGAGCACCCACAACTTCTGGAAGTAAGCCATTCCACTGAATAATGTTATGTATGTTTATGGGTAAATATATACTTTACTTTGAGAGCAGGCAACAGGATTACATTTTTAACGTGGGCCAGTGTGCTCATAGTAAAAAATGACAATTAAAGGTTATCTTAGCTTATCTAAATCTTATCTTATCGTCTCGTCTCGTCTCATCTTATCCTATCGTCTTGTTTTGTCTTGTCTTGTCTTGTCTTACTTTGCCCTACCCTACCTTATCATATCTTATCTTACCTTATCATCTTATTTTATCTTATCATCTTATCTTATTATTTTATCTTATTATTTCATCTTATAATCTTATCTCATCTTCTTATCCCATCTTCTTATCTTCTCATCTTCTCATCTTATAATCCTATCTTAATTCTTCTCATTGTCAGGAAATTTAGTTCTAGATTGGGTCTCTCTTTAATAATCTATACATTACTTCTTTTCCTGCCCTCTGGTGCTTTGGAGAAGAAGTTGACCCTCTCTTCTCTGTGACAACCCCTCAAGTACTGAAGACAGTCATGCCTCCTAGTAATGTTTAGTTGTTCTTCTCTGCACATTATCCAGGGTCTCAAGATCTTTTTTGTGTTGTGTTGTGGTGACCAGAACTGGACGCAGTATTCCAAGTGTGATTTCAAGGAGTCATCCTTTTAAAATAAAAAGACGTCCAGTTTGTCTAGGGTGCGTCTCTTGGAAAAATAATTCAGTGCGTCTGTTCATAGGTTCTCCATTTCTGCTTCCGTTCTTTATATGTTGGATACCTGCAGCACATCTGGAGAACGCTTTCGTTAGCCAGACATTAGTAAGACCTGGTTTCCACATCCCTATTGGGGTCAGCTCAGCGTTGGCCTTTCATGTTAGTGGGAATCTTGGTGGGAGGGTTGCTACATCAGCGGTGAAGTATATTTGGCCATTTCCGAAGTTGACGGCACCAGGTGGGAAACGTCTAGACTTGGTTTCAGAAGAAGCCACCCAAACCACATCTAAAGAGCTCACACAATTTCCCCCAAGACTCACAAAATGGCACCGGGGTGGTTCTTCATTTCTGGTGGTGCAAAAAAGGAGGGCAGCCAAAGTAGCTCCTACCACGGCGATGAGACCCCAGACTGGGAACACCCCCTGGAACTTGTAGAGACCATCTGCAATAAAGACACAGTCTTTGTTTCCTCCTTCTTAAAAACCAACCCCTGGTGGCCCATTTCGTTGCCATCCATAAGTCAAAAGTGAGGTGGTTCAGAAATAATCCGTTTTTATAAAGCGTTTCCACGTCACATATGCCACTCAAGAACCTGGCCCATAGAATCGTCAAGAGTTGGACCCAACTGAATGGATAACCTCCTGATCCTCCTCCTCCTCCTCCTCCTCCTCCTCCTCCTCCTCCTCATCATCATCATCATCATCATCATCATCATCATCCTATTCATCCTTCAGCCTCTAGACTGTGCAATCTTCATGATTCTTTCCTAATTCTCAAAATCCCTTCCTATTCAGATTTCTATTTCCTGTTCTCACGCCCGTAACATACCCCCCCTTCTAACTGGGAATACTGGAAAGTGAACTGGAGACGATTTATGTACCAAGGAGTGCTCAAGATTAAGAGAGGTCTTTCTCCCATTTACTATTAGACATCTTCCCAATACATAGCCCAGTTGGTAGAGGAAAGGCGCAAACTTACAGGTTCCAGATTTCAAGGTGAGAATGCAGACGAGCGGGCCGGTGATCAAGTGTAGACAATTCAGAGGCCTTTTCCAGTTTTGATCATCCCGGTCAGGATCAACGGTAGGTACGGTCAGTAAAAGGACCAATTCTATTGGAAGCTGTAGGGAGAAGAAGACTCTCTCAGCAAGTCGCCTAAACTAGAGATTGTTCTGCACTTCTGCAGAAGGCGGAACTAGAACTCCCGGTCTCCTGGTTTTTGAGCCTAATGCCTTAACCATTAGTTAGAGAGGGCCTTATTTGTGAAAAGGAAAAAAACTTGGAAGACATTTCATTACCCAAACTAGGTAACATCATCAGTGATAGACGGGAGTGGAGTTTGTTGGGGGGAGGAGGAGGAGGAGGACTGTGGGGTCCTTGGTGCTCTCTGAACTGGCTTGTTTTCTTGCAGACATTTCATTACCAAACTAAGTAATGTCATCAGTGCTAGAAGGGAGAAGAGGAGGAGGAGGAGGAGGAGGAGGAGGAGGAGGAGGAGATGGTGAAGGAAGACTGTAGGGCCCTTGGTGCACTCTGAACTTGATTGTTTTCTTGCAGACATTTCATTACCAAACTAGGTAACATCATCAGTGCTAGAAGGGAGGAGGAGGTGGTGATGGCGAAGGAGGACTGTAGGGCCCATAGGATTTTAGGGCTTGGTCTAACCTAAACGAAGACCGTTGGGTTAGAGGGCAGCAGAGAGATGCATTTTAGAAGTTGTTAGATGTCCCTTGAGAAGAGATTGCACAATTTAGTGGACGGTTTCTTTTTTTATATATATAAGAAAGATGTAGCTCTAACCTTGCAAACTTTGAACAGTTTCCAATAGCAGGGTTTCCTCCTCCACTTCCTATAATCCAGAGGGTTGATGGACCGAGTCAGAATCTGGAATGTGGTTTCCTCCGAGGGCAGCAACAGTTGATATTCTTCCTCTGCACAAGTGAAAGAAAGAAAGAAGCTATAGAGATGATCGGGATTCAAGAATCCTCATTCTCTCTTGCATTTATTGGTGCTTTCAAGTCAATCATAAAACTTGGCAATTGACTGGTCCCTGCAGTTTTCCTGGCAGGGTCAGAAGTGGCTGGTTGTTTCCTTTCTAGGGCTGACAATGTGTGATGGATCCAAGGTCATCCAGCTGGCTTTGGGTCTAAGATGGAGTTCTAGCTTGGTGCCTTAATCAATACACAAGCCAACTCACCTCATTCTCATATCCACCCCTTGTCTCCTAAAAAAGGGGTGGCCAGATTTTTGAAGTTAAAGAAGGACGTGACCAAGCTTTCTTCCAATGTGGTATCACCTCAAGAACAACTACGGATCAGCGATCGAAAAAGGATGTTTAACCACTGAATCCCATCACTTCCAACAAACACCGAGAAGGTTGTATTGGATGAAGATGATGGAAGCCTCATTAAGGGTGGTTGAGTTATTTACGAGTAACAGATAAAGTCCTACTCCAGCCACCAATCAAAATCTGCAAAGGACCACGGTTGACTTCTGCAACCAGAATAGGGACTTCATTTCCTCTCAACTTGGTTTGCTGAAAGAATTCCTGCTTGAGAAGCTTATAATAGAAGAGCGGTATGGGCTACACAAATAACTAAAATCAACCTAAACCGTCTGCAAGCTTAGAAATCCAAGAATGCCTTACCCCCATTCACGCTTGCATTATCACCTTCTTCGGAATCCGTTGACATTTCTGGAGAGGGAGAAATGGGAAATGTGTTTATTATATTGGTATACTGCAAAATCTTGAGCTTCCGATGACAACGTAAAGCAAGCCGGTGGAGTATCTAAGGAAGTTTGTCTAGCAAAATTTGCTCTGGATATCTCAGATAGGCAGGATTGTCCTCTAAATCAGAGGTCCCCAACCTTTTGGGCACCAGGAACCGGTTCCACAGAGAAAAGTTTTTCCATGGACCGGAGAGTGCGTGGGTGTGTATGCAGCCTGCATCCCAGGGATGGGGCTTTGCTTGTCTGTGTGGACCGGTTGCTGGCATGCCGCGGCCCTGTACAGGTCCACAGACTGGGGGTTGGGGACCTCTGCTCTAGATTATTTCCTATCAGGCCACTTTGTGCTAGCAGTTGCCACCAACTAAATTCCTGTCCTTCTCCATCCAAAACATAAAGGTTTCTTGAAGAAGAGAGAGGATCCTCATAATGATATTGAACTAAACTCACATCTTTTCTGACCTTTGACCATGTTGATTTGGAGCTCATGGGAACTGGAGTATTGAACATCTTGAAGTCCACCCGTACTCCATCTCTGACCTATAGATACACCAGCCCTCACCTGGTTCTGGATGGCTGGGTGGAGCCAATCTTTCCCTGCGCTGTCTCCTGTGAAGCCAGGTGGAGACCACAACACTCAAGACGTAGAAGATGTAAAGTCCAAGGAAACCTAGGAATGAGAGACATCACGCAAGTTGTCCTCTCTGCCCATCAAACCTTGTCTCCAATTCATGTACACGTTATGAATCAACTTCCTATACATTAAATCAACTGCAAATAAATTAAAAGTCTTCCCTAATGAGTTTCCATAATCAGAAAAAAAACACACACATAGCTCTAGCAGAAAGCATTGGATGATGTTGGGCGCGGCTACCTACCCATGTTAGTCAAGACCATTACCCTACACACTCTTGGAGTAGAACAACATAACAACGTTAAGAAATGAAACAGATACAAGAGGAGGCTGAGCAGTTGAGGATCTACTCAGTAGCTCCCACAATTTGTTTTGAGTCAACAAAGCTTTTGAGTAGTGCAGCAAATTCCAGCGAGTGTCCACGCTGAAACACTACTCCCTGGAGTAGTGCTTCCCAACCTTTCAGGTATGAGGACTTAAACTCAGAGAATTTAAAGAATTCTCAAATTCCCAAACTCCCAGAATTTTGACCCCAGGTCGTTCTAGCTGTAGAATTCTGGGATCTGATGTCCATACACCTGGAAATTGCCAAGATTGGAGGTCTGGAGCGATGTCTCTGAGGCACTATAAGACATTCATTCGGCAGCTCAACTCAGCTACCAAACTCTGGTCCCTTGAACCAACCCAGCCCAAATCTGTTGGGATGAAGGGGTGGCATCACCTGCAAAAGGAGCTAGATCCTCTTCCCAGAAAACAAAACGTGAAGATGGAATGTCTACCTCTCAACAAGGGATTTTTTTTAAAGCCCCTTTGCCTCCTTATACCTACTCAGAGCTTCTGCCAAGGTGACTTGTTCAAAATAGAGAGCTACAAAGGTCAGGAACACGGCGAACATGTAGAAGATGGCATCCCGTAGGAAGGGACGAGAGGCGGCAGTAAAAGGCCTTATAAGGGCTATGCCACCAGCGACTATAGTGGTGACGAAGATGCCAGCACCTAGTGAAAAATAAAAAGAGAAGACAGCTGGATGATCTTTCCTCTTTCCTTCACTCAGCCCTATATACTCTAACGGAACAGGAGAATGACCTTGGGAGACAGGAGGAAGAGCCTCAGCCAAGACAGGGGTCTGATAAGAGAAATCTGGGTCTAAAAGAGGAATGGAAGTGGCGAAAGCATCTCAAAAAAGGACCATCCTCCTTAGCTCTCTGGAAAGTAAAATCAGGGGAGGAGGAAATGCATTTAGGCTTGCGTGTGTCAAGGTTCTGATGTACCCAATGAAGTAAGCACAGCGGAGATGATCCAATCTCTACTGCAAAACTTTATTGAGTACATCGTTTTGGCACAGATGGAAGCAAAACCAGCTCTGGTCAATTCCCGCCTAAATCGCTATATTAAAAGTATAGAAACCTCCGTCCCTCTGTTAGTGCCGGTCACATTATCCAATTATAAGACAGATAATGATTATGAGGGAATGTCTTCAGTTCTCAGTAAACAACTCTTGAGAGTCCTTGGTTCTCACGGACTGGCATTTCGCTATCTGGATCCTGCTTTCCATTCTCCCCTCCCCTCCTCCCGGGCTTGTTGGCAAGCTAAGAAGCAAAAAAATGGTTGAAACAGCGCCCTTCGAAGCCTGACAGCACGATTCTGTGGCCATAACCTTACAATAAAGGCAGCGCTAGTCCTCATGGTTTGGATTTCCTAACTGGACTACCTCCAAGGGCTGACACCTCCACAGAATTTCTCCTCCTGCATTTATTCCATAGGCAGCACACAAACCCAGCCATCCCCTTTGTTCCTTCTTACCAAAGATAGCTCCAATGGCTAGCCCAGCTGTCCGGGGATCGGAGAACGCAACGACGGCGCTGAAGATGTCAGGTGCTCCGTTTCCAAAAGCCAGAAAGGTGACACCATGGAGGAAGGGCTAAGGAAAAAAGATCTATCGCCATGCCTGATCTGTTTAGGAGTGGACTTGATTCCGTTATTCTGCTGGCCTGTACATACCCACACCGGCATAGTCACCGAGCTGATTTCCTTGCCAGAAAGCAAGAATAATAAGGTTGGAAGGGACTCTTCTAGTCCAATCTTCTCCTAGAGCAGGAGATCCTATACTATAGCATTCTGGGCAAAGGGCTGTCTATCCCCAAAGTGCTTTTTCACGAGGCAACTGGGCCTTCTTGTTTTTTTTGTTGAAGACCTTTTGCTTCTCATCCAAGAAGCTTCTTCAGTTGCCTCGTGAAAAAGCACTATTGACCTGGATGACTGAGAATCTCCACAGACAAATGGCCGTCCAGTCTCTTCTTAAAAACATCCAGTGATGGAGCACCCACAACGTCCGAAGGCAAGCTATCCCACCGTTTGTTTTCACTGACAGAATTGGCCCATGGTTTGCTTCGGAGGAAAAACTAGCCTCTTTTGTACGATATTTGTCTCTTGGGGTCTTCTCAAACAGCTGAGGATGATGGTCCTCCTCTCGTCACAAGCATCGTTTGACCATTTAATTCAAAGTTGTTGTTTTTTCATCACCATGTCAACATGGTCAACCGAAGGCTGCAACATTTTCACGGACTTTGTACCCAAATTCCCCGCCCAACTCTTATCCTCCCTGATCCACCTTCTCCACTTCATGGATTGTCCTCCTGGGGACCTTTTCTTTCACAGCCCCTTTGTCCCGCATCCCCAAAAGACAGGAGGGATGGGCCCATGGAAGGATACTGCCACATTATGAGCCAACCGCAGCTTGGTGGAGATGGCCGATAAGTTAGGGCAGAAGCTAGAAGGAGAAAGAAAGAGAACGATTAAACCTTTCTGAAATGCTGCTTCCCTTCTTATTGCTGCTCCTCTCTGTCTTGTCTCCTCCAGATAGCTGACCTTTGACTCTGAAAGCGTGATTTGGATTCCAGGTTTACTACTCACAATTTCTCAGCTGTGACCCCAAGGATAACGAAGAGGTAGAGAAGCCACAGTACCTACAAGAAACCAAAGACAAGGGCGTTTGCTGGGAAACGGGAGGAGGAAAAACACCATCCAACCGTCCCAACCAGGCACACTCCACCCCAGGTGGGTTGGGACTACAACTCCCATGATTCCAAGACAGCAGGACCAAAGTCTTCTAGTCCAGGCCCCTCCCAAGCAAGATCTTATTGCATTCCGGAAAAAAATGGATGTCCATTTCTTGAAGGCCTCCAGTAAGAACTTCTGGATAACCCTCTTCTTTGCAAATAAAAGTTCTCTTTTCCTTTCCACCTATCTGGTGGTGGTCCATTAAGCTTGCACGCCTGGTAAAAAGACCCAAACTTTCTGGATCAACAGAACTTTTTAAAAATCAGGAAGGAGGGGGGAAAAAGCCTTCCAAGGAAAAATAGATAGGAGAAGTCTCCTTTCCCACTGGGATCCTTACGTAGAGGGTTATGGCCAAAGGTTGCAGAGCAGCTGGGAAGACGCAGAAAATTCCATTGAGGTAGTTGAGGAAGCCACTGTCCATCTTGCAGTTCGGGTTATGCTGGATGAAGGAGCAACGGTCCGACTGATTCTGTTTTCCTACTTCTCTGCACTAGAGTGGAGGCAGGAAAGAAAGAAAGCATGATTAACAAAAGAGATTCCACGGGAACAGTCTGGTCACCACCTGTCAGCTGCCACCTTATGCTTGTTTGTGCTTCGCCGTTAGGCAGTGACAGACTGCCATGAACTGTGGGGAAGGATAATGAAGGGGGGGAAACGAAAGTAAGTGCTGTACCTCCTCGAGATGCTGCCTCAAGGTCACCCAGCTGGAAGAAAGAGGGAGCTGCATACCAAGTTACACTTGGACTGACCGTTAGGAAAACATCTTGCCTAAGCCTGATTAGTTACAAGGGGGTGGGCAAATGCGATTCCCAGAAGTTCCTAGAGGAAGTCAGGAGAGAGACTGGAACACTAGTTGCATCTCTTCCAGGTTATGTCACCTATTGTGACATGGGTGGTGACATTCTACACCATCTGAAGCTTCTAAGCCCCATTCAAGTTGTAGGTCAAAGGAAGGTCCTTCCTGATGATCTCCGAACAAGCAGGTTACAGTCAAGAAAATCAAGGAGATAAATTATGATGCACATCGGGATATTCTACAAAAGGGGTGGGGGGTGCCACGATAGTGTGATCAACCTCCAAACCTTTTGTGTGACACTTGTAAAAAAGGCCTAGGGCTTTGATCACACTCTTGCAGCTGCCATCTTGACTCTTGCCACATTATTCACATTATAAAAAAGATGTTGAGACTTTGGAAAGAGTGCAAAGAAGAGCAACTAAAATGATTAAGGGCCTGGAGACTAAAACTTACGAAGAACAGTTGCAAGAATTGGATAATGTCTAGTCTAATGAAAAGAAGGACTAGGGGGTGACATGATAGCCGTGTTCCAATATTTGAGGGGCTGCCACAAAGAAGAGGGGGTCAACCTATTTTCCAAAACACCAGAAGGCAAAACAAGAAGCAATGGATGGAAACTAAACAAAGAGAGAAGCAACCTAGAACTAAGGAGAAATCTATCAGTGAGGACAATTAACCAGTGAAACGAACGGCTTTTCTCTGTAAGTTGTGGATGCTCCATCACTGGAGGCTTTTAAGAGAGATGAGACAGCCACTTGTCTGGAATGTACAGGGCCTCCTGTTTGAGCAGGGGATCGTCACTAAATGAACTGTTGCAAGCCAAGGATGATCTGGATTTCCCAAGATTGACTTCAGCCCCAAGTAGAATCAAAAGAGAAGTATGTCCCTAANGCTTTTCTCTGTAAGTTGTGGATGCTCCATCACTGGAGGCTTTTAAGAGAGATGAGACAGCCACTTGTCTGGAATGTACAGGGCCTCCTGTTTGAGCAGGGGATCGTCACTAAATGAACTGTTGCAAGCCAAGGATGATCTGGATTTCCCAAGATTGACTTCAGCCCCAAGTAGAATCAAAAGAGAAGTATGTCCCTAATGTTTTGGCCACTTACATCCACATTTGTGGTGGAGCTCTGGATTCCAGAAGGTTGCCCAAGACCGTCTCTTGAGAAGGATGCTGAAAACTTGATGTTCCATGGCCCAATAGGTCCTACCGCCTCTGTCTCCCCGACCAGCAGGAAGGCCCCACCAAGAAGCCAGAGAGTTTGCATAAGGCCCAGCCAGAAAACTTCCCTCATCATCCGTCTGCTCTAGAGGCGAGGATTGCACACCACAGCATGGGGAGCGACAATATCGGAAAGGAGGAGGCGGCAACGCCAACAACCAGGGAGTTTCACAAAGTCCAGCCGTTGGTGGAAATGGAGAAGTGAGGTCAGCAGAAAGTGGGAGATGTTACGATGACATCCCTCTGTAGGGAGAGAAAAGGGGAAGGCAAAGGAGGTTCAGGCTGGCAGAAACTTCAAATACACTCAAATGCAAGACATCAAAATATATAAACATGCAAGACATTAAAATATATAAACATGCAAGACATTAAAATATATAAACATGCAAGATTGAAATATATAAACATGCAAGACATCAAAATATATAAACATGCAAGACATTAAAATATATAAACATGCAAGACATTAAAATATTTAAACATGCAAGACATAAAAAATATATAAAAACGCAAGACATTAAAATATCATTAAAAAACACACATAGCGCTTTTGGTTACCCAAATATAACTTACTTGTAAATTAAAAACAATAGAGACGTTTTGAATACTGATGGGAAATTAAAAATTTTTTTAAAAAAGAGCAAAAACAGGATACCGATTGAATATATATGGCTGTTAAGGGCAAATGCAATTAAGATATGTTTTGGTTAGAAAAGTTATCTAAAACTGACATTATGAATATTATGAGAAAAATGTAACCAAGATGTTTATATTCAGTTGTATATTTATTAATAACAATATGAATTGTATTTGCCTAGCGTGGGAAAACAGGTACTACCGAAAGAAGAGAGGAAACATTTGATGGTGTAATATTGTGTCTAGACTGCAGAAGTTAACATATAGAATAGAATAGGAAACAGAGAATAGAATAAGAATAAGAATAAGAATAAGAATAGAGTAGAGTAGAGTAGAGTAGAGTAGAGTAGAATAGAATAGAATAGAATAGAATAGAATAGAATAGAATAGAATAGAATATAGAGGAATGGAGTGGGAGTGGGAGTAGAGTAGAGTAGAACAGAACAGAACAGAACTGGAAGGGACCTTGGAGGTCTTCTAGTCCAGCCCCCTCTCAAGCAGGAGAACCTATACCATCTCAACCTATGCCATTTGTCCAGGATGCTATAAGGAAACAACCGGACAGGGAAATCTTTACCTTTTTAGTCTGCTGCATTACTAATAATACTAATACTAATAATAATAAAGTTGGAAGGGACCTTGGAGGTCATCTAGTCCAACCCCCTGCTCAGGCAGGAAACCCTATACCATTTCGGACAAATGGCTGTCCAGTCTCTTCTTAAAAACTTCCAGTGTTGGAGCATTCACCGCTTCTGGAGGCAGGTTGTTCCACTGGTTAATTGTTCTCACTGTCAGGAAGTTTCTCC